GGGGCCCAAGTGCGGCCCAAGCCGAATCCAAGTGGGGCCCAAGTGGGGCCCGAGCCGATTCCAAGTGGGGCCCGAGCCGCCTCCAAGTGGGGCCCAAGTGGGGCCCGAGCCGAAACCAAGTGGGGCCCGAGCCGAATCCAAGTGGGGCCCAAGTGGGGCCCGAGCTGGTGACAAGTGGGGCCCAAGTGGGGCCCGAGCCGAATCCAAGTGGGGCCCGATGAATCCGAATCCAACTGAGGCCAATTGGGCCCCGAGCCGAATCCAAGCGTGGCCCAGCGCACCTCCAAGCGGGTCCCAATCCGACTCCAAGTGGGCCCAAGTGGGCCGATCCCCTCTGGCGTTGGGGGCCCGAGCCGAATCCATGGGGGCCCAGTGGGGCCCGAGCACCCTCCCAGGTGAGGCCCGAGCCGAAATCTCAAGTGGGGCCCGAGGGGATCCATGGGGGGCCGCCAGCCGCGCACTGCTTTGGCCGGCGGAATGGGGTGCCGTCCGCATACCCGAAGGTCCCCGGGATCGATTAGTCTCGGCCGACAAAGAAAAAAAAGAGCCGCTGCGGTACGGGCCGGAGAAGCCGCCCAGTGGGGTCCCCGAGCGAATCCCAGTGGGGCCCAATGGAGGCCCGGCCCAGTAAAGTGGGCCCAGTGGGGCCCAATTGGGGGCCCTAGCCGCCTCAAGGGGGGGGCCCGAGCCGCCTCCAAGTGGGGCCCGAGCACCCTCCAAGTGGGGCCCGAGCCGAATCCAAGTGGGGCCCAAGTGGGGCCCAAGTGGGGCCCGAGCAGAATCCAAGTGGGGCCCAAGTGGGGCCCGAGCCGAATCCAAGTGGGGCCCGAGCCGAATCCAAGTGGGGCCCAAGCGGGGCCCGAGCCGCCTCCAAGTGGGGCCCAAGTGGGGCCCGAGCCGGTGACAAGTGGGGCCCGGGCCGAATCCAAGCGGGGCCCAAGTGGGGCCCGAGCCGCCTCCAAGTGGCGCCCGAGCCGCCTCCAAGTGGGGCCCAAGTGGGGCCCGAGCCGAATCCAAGTGGGGCCCAAGTGGGGCCCGAGCTCCCTCCAAGTGGGGCCCGAGCCGAATCCAAGTAGGGCCCAAGTGGGGCCCGAGCCGAATCCAAGTGGGGCCCGAGCCGAATCCAAGTGGGGCCCAAGTGGGGCCCGAGCCGAATCCAAGTGGGGCCCGAGTGGGGCCCGAGCCGAATCCAAGAGGGGCCCAAGTGGGGCCCGAGCCCCACTTTGATTCGGTCCGTGCCCCGCTTGGACTTGGCTCGGGGCCCAGCTCAGCTCCAGCTCCAGGTCCAGCACCGCTTGGGCCCCACTTTGGCCCCAGTTGGACCTTGGGCCCCACTTGGGCCCCAAGTCGAATTCAGCTTCAACTTCAGCGTTAGCTCCAACTCCAACTAGCTCCAGCCACCGCCCCAGCTCCAGGAGGAGGAGAGGCAGAGGGGGAGTGCGACGGACGAGGGCGCGGAGGAACGCTTTCCAGGGCCGCGGACAGGCGTGGCCCGCAGCGATCCGCAGCGGGCGCCCCCGAATTTCAAGGGATGCGCAGACGGAGTCTACAGGCGGGCAGCGGGCTCCCAGTTCACTACGTCCAGCAGTACGCAGCGCTCCAGCTGGGATCGATGGCGAGCGCAGCTTCCTCGACCGAGTGCTGAAGGACGAGTTTCTGGGACAGTTTCTGCACCGGCTTCTTATGGCGGGCCGCGCGGATGAGGTACTTGGCAGCGTTCATGATGTTATGGTGGCCTTTGTGGTGAGCCCGCCGCAGGAGGTCAGTGACCGTCGCCGTGTCGGCGTGCTCGCACGGGGCCAGGTCTGCGTTGTCATCTGTGGAGCCAGAATCCTCGCCGCTCCCGCTGCCATCGCCAGCCGCCTCGCCCGGGCCCTCCAGGGGCGCTTCGCTCGGCCCCTCGTCCGCCGCCGCGCCCTCCTCGGGACCGTTCGCTGCTAGGGCCTCCACTGCGTCCTCCTCCGCCGCAGCCTGCGCCGCAGCTGCCTCGTCGCCAGACCCCTCGTCGCTGGAAGATGAACTCGAAGACGTGCTCGACGAGGAAGAGGAAGGCGACTCGCTGCCACTGGCCACGTCGGCCACATCGCCCTTCCAGGACTCCTCCACGAGCTCCTTGAGCTCGTCAATCCTGGAATGATCGAAGGGAGGCACCTGGCAATTCGGGCTCGAGTCGACCTTGACGTTGCCCACGCGCGCCTGCGTCACAGACACCGTGAGGCCCGCGTGCCCGAAGTACTTCGCGTGCTGCGAAGCCCTCTCCTAGCGGGGGACTAAACAGCCTGTCTGCCTGTCTGTCTGCCTGTCTGCCCCTGTCTGTCTGTCTCTGTCTGTCTCTGTCTGTCCCTGTCTGTCTCTGTTGTCTGTCTCCGTTTGGACCCGCAGGTCTCCAAGATGCACCGGCCGTGCGCGCGCGAAGCCATCTGGGCGAACAGCGCGCGCTTCTCCCAGGCTTTCAGCTTGGGCCAGCGCTTGAAGTTTCCCTTGGACATCAACCACTCCGTCTGCTCCTCGCGGAGGAGGCACTTGTAGTCCTTGCCCACGCCTCGGTCGATCCCCTGCCAGACGTGGGTGCTGGACCCCTTCCGGCCCAGCAAGCCGACGGTTTTGTGGTCGGCGAGCGCCCTGCGGAACGACAGCCGGCTCTGGCAATCGAGGTTGTCAAAGGTCAGCAGGGCGTGTCGCTCTGGATTCTCACCGCGAAAAGTCTTCCACGTGCCCTCAAGCCACTGGCCCAGCAAGGGTTGATCGACCACAGCGCACTTTTGGAAAGCGACGTGCACATTGGTTAGCCCGTCGTACACTGCTCGCTCCCGAGCACTGATACGGCCTGCCTTCAGCTTCAACACGATGAAGAGCTTCGGCTGCGGCTGCGCCAGGTCGCATCCGAGGCAGATATGCAAGGTGCCGAAGCGCTTGTCGCCCCCGGAGCCAGACCCCTGCACGCGGATCGCCCCTGCTGCCGCCTTGGCTGAGGAGGGGCCCCAGAAACGCACGAAGGAAAACGCAACTGAACTTTCGAACATTTAAGACGCACTGGAAATATCATTGTGTCTGTGTCTGTTTCCCCTCCTGAAAAGCGTTCGCCCTGGGGCCCCGACTCAGCCTCCTTCGGGTCTCCCCAGGTCGTCGCGCCCGAGAAGAGGTCGAAGTTCACGCCGACCTGGTCCATGTTGTACCGGTCCTTCACTGGGCACCAACCGTCATCGGGGCTCATCGCGGCCCCGTCTACGGGCGCCTGGAGCAATGTGAATCGTAGCGTGCTCACCCACGTGGTCATGATGACTGCCTCCTGCTCCGGCGTATACCCGCTGGGGTTTTTCGGCTTCCGTGGCCTCCAATTGTTCACGTTCAGCCACGTCTGCGTAGACTGGTGGGTCGGTTTGAAGCGCCCGTACCGGCTGTGGGACGGCCAGCCCTCCACGCCATATTGCTATGTGATTTTCTCGTGCACTCGGAGGGACAGGACTAGCGCCACCCGCGTGGAAACGCGGAAAGCCTTCCTGCGCAGCTTGCCCAGGCGCTGTTTGAGACGCTGGTTGAACTTCTTCATATGGTGACAGCCCCAATACACATTGGAGCACACCCTCTTTGTGTCCTTGATTATTTGGGCCACTCGCTTAGCCACCTTCCTTTTGATGTCCTCTGACTGCTTTTTCCATTTGAAGAGGGTGCCGTATGGCACGTTGGTTCCCGCCGCTTTGCCGTCGTTGCTCTTGTAGGGACTGCCCAGCGCGAGCTCCCCGGCATGCGCCTCCAGCGCCTTCAGCATCTGGGTGCACGTATATCGCGTGCGATGCTCGGCACCACGAGTGAGCTTCTTTTTCTTCGCAGGGGGGCACGTCCGCAAGCCGCTCAACATCCTCGCAGTCCCCGGCCTCGTCGACGTCCGGGTTCTCTTCGGCCAGCTCGTCGACGGCGGCGCCCGTCGCCTCCAGAAGCAGAGCAGCAATACCGTGACCAGGCTCGCCATCTGCGAGGAGCCGCGCAGCTCCAGCGGAGCTGCTGCTCGCGCCTTCTCGCGGGCCGTGCCAGTTCCGGAGGTGAGACGACATGCCTTGCGCCGAGCGTGTTCGGAAACCGCAGCCTTCCACGGGGCACAGGCACGGCGATAGAACTTGGGCATTCTGCGGCCCGGGTGCGACCTCCACCACGTTCCCGACGCTCGTGCGCACGAGCCGCCTCAGCCCGTACCGGTGCAGCGAGCTCTGCCCTGTCGGTGCAGGTGGCGCCGGCTCTGGCCCTTCTTCGCGGGGGCGGATCATGGCGGCGCACCCTGCAAAGCACAGCGTCGCGGCAAGCAGCCGCATCCACAAGTTCCGAATGAAATTCAGTTGGAGGAATCTGAAACCAATACGGCTGCGCAGGAAATGGGGGCCATCGCGACTCCAAGTGGGGCCCGAGTGGGGCCCGAGCCGAAACCAAGTGGGGCCCAAGTGGGGCCCGAGCCCAACCCAAGCGGGGCCCGAGCCGAATGGAAGTGGGCCCCAAGTGGGGCCCGAGCCGGATCCAAGTGGGGCCCGAGCCGAATCCAAGTGGGGCCCAAGTGGGCCCGAGCCAAATCCAAGTGGGGCCCGAGCCGGATCCAAGTGGGGCCCACGTGGGGCCCCGGCCGAATCCAAGTGGGGCCCAAGTGGGGCCCGAGCCGAATTGAAGCGGGGCCCAGGTGGGGCCTGGTGGGGCCCCGGCCGAATCCAAGTGGGGCCCAAGTGGGGCCCAAGTGAGGCCCGAGCCGAATCCAAGTGGGGCCCAAGTGGGGCCCGAGCCCAACCCAAGTGGGGCCCGAGCCGAATCCAAGTGGGGCCCAAGTGGGGCCTGTGCCGAATCCAGGTGGGGACCCAAGTGGGGCCCGAGCCGAATCCAAAGGCCCCCCCAGCCGAGCCCACCTCCTCCGCGCCTCCAAAGGGGCGCCCGCTGCGGGTCGACTCGAACGCATGCCCCGGCTCCTGTGGGCCCCTCCCCCAGGGCCCGTCTGTTCCTCCTCCTCCTCCTCCTCCTCCTCCTCCTCCTCCTCCTCGTCCTCCTCCTCTTCAGGCAGGCTCCTCCGCCTCCTTCTCCTCCTCCTCCTCCTCCTTTTCCTCCTTCCTCCTCCTCCTCCTCCTCCTCCTCCTCCTCCTTTTCCGTTTCCTCCTCCTTCCTCCTTCCTCCTTCCTCCTCATCCTCCTCCTCTTCCTGACCCCTGCCCCTTCCTCCTGAAGGATTGGCGCAACGGCCGCCACCCAGCAAGGGAGAAAGGGAGGATTGGCGTAACGGCCGCCACCCAGATAAGACTAAACTTCCCTCCGCCTCCTTCCTGATAGACACGCACACACACAAACACATACGCACGCACACGTGCGAACACACGCACAACGATATACATTGCTCCTCCGCCCCCGCCTTTCAGGAGAAAAGAAAGGGTGAGGGAAGACGGGAGATCCTACTTCAACCCTGCTGGCACATCTGAAGACACTACTGGCACATCGGAAGATCCTACTTCAACCTGTTGGCACTCGGCGGGCACCCTCTTCCTCCTCCTCTTCTTCCTCCTCCTCCTCCGCTCCGCCTCCTCCTCCTCCTGCTCCTCCTCCTCCTCCGCCTCCTGCTCCGCCTCTTGCCCGTCGTCCTCCTCCTGCTCCTCCTCCTCCTCCTGACCTCTGCTCCTCCTCCTCCTCCTCGTCGTCCTCCTCCCCCTCCCCCAGGGCCCGTCTGTTCCTCCTCCTCCTCCTCCTCCTCCCCTCCTCTCCTCCTCCTCCTCCTCCTCCTCCCTCCTCCTCTTCGGGCAGGGCCCCTCCTCCTCCTCCTCCTCCTCCTCGCTTCCTCCTCTTCCTCCTCTTCCTCCTTCCTCCTCCTCTTCCTTTTCCTCTTCCTCCTTCCCCCCCCCAGTAAGCACGCGCCGCCTGCCTCCTCCTCCTCCTCCTCCTCCTCCTCCTGCCCTCCTCCTCCTCGCGTCCTCCCCATCCTCCTCTCCTCTTCCTCCTCCTCCTCCTCCTCCTCCTCCTCTCCTCCTCCTTCTCCTCCTCCTCCTCCTCTCCTCCTCTCCTCCTCCTCCTCCTCCTCCTCCTCCCCCTCCCCTCCTCCCCCTTGTCCCCCCTCCCTCCCTGTCTCCCCTGCCATCCCCCAAAGCCGTCCACGGTGGCACCGCAGCCGCAGAACCAGCCGAGCCGGCAGCGGAGCCGGAGGCTGGTAGGGACCGACAGGCACAGAGGGCACCAGACCTCCGACGTCGCGATTTTTTCAATACGCGGCCCCCGGCGTCCCGACCCTGTCCCCGGGACCAATTTATCATCCTGAATAATTTTTGCACGGCCCCGGGACCCTCCGGAAGCCCCCGGGGGCCCGAAATGACGAAAAACCTCCGTCGTGTTTTTTTCCAGACGTCGGAGGTCTGGGGCGGGGCTGAAGGTGGTGACGGTGGTGGTGATGGTGATGTTGATGCTGATGCTGACATTTTTTTGCTCCACCGGTGCTCCGGGCTGCGCGCGCCGCGCCGAGCGGCCGCAGTTGTCTACGTGCACATGTCTGGGCAGCGGGCAGCGGCCGCAATTGTCTATATGTGGATGTCTGGCGCCGAAGCCGCGCCGAGCGGGCAATCACTAGATCCCTGGCTCAATCGGCCTCAACCTCTGGACAGCCCGCCCTGTCTGAAGCGCCGCCCTTCGCCGCGACGCAGTCGGGCCCCTCCGGCACGGGCCCCTCGCGATCGCCCGGCGCCGCGCGCTCCTCCGCGAGGCGCGCCTTCACCAGAGCCCACAGGTCTGGGACGTGAGACCGCGTCGCCCACCTCTCGTTCTTCTCGAGCAAGATCGTTTTGGCCACGCGCATCCGGCGCGCCTGCGCATGCTGCTGGGCCTCCCGCTTGGGGCAAGGGGTCGCGATCTCTGGCGCGGGCGTGGTGCGCTTGGCGAAACTCGTCCGCGCAGGCTTCCGCCTCGTCCGCGCAGGCTTCCGCCCCGCGGTCGCCTCTTCCACTTCCCCCCCCTCCTCCTCCTCAGAAGGCCCCTCGGACTCCGCGCGCTCGACCACGAACCCGGCGAGGGCGTCTGGGTCCTGCGCGTGGAGCTCCGCCAAGATCCCCGGCTCCTCCTCGTCGTCCTTCTGCCCCCGCGCGCGCTCCTCGTCCGTGCCCCCCTGGTCCGTGCCCCCGCCCACCAGCCACCTCTCCATCGTTCGTGCCTCGCTCAGGCGAGAAGCTTGCCGCCTCGCGAAGGCTCTGTCTTTCCTTGTCCGTTTGGCAGAGTCTGTTCGGATGAACGCGTGGTCGATCCAGAGATCCTGCGGCGCCTCGAGCAACCCTGGGTCTGACGAGTCCTGCGAGCACAGCGCGTCTCCCGGATCCCAATCTTCGTCAACCACGGAGAGCTCGCCGCCAGCCGAGAGGGATGCGCACTCGTCGCTCAGCGCCGCGTGTGCGCGAAGCTCCTTCCAACGCCAGTACACGCGGCCGTTCTTGCCGTTGCTTGCCCGCACGTACTTTGCGTACTCGCACCACAGGATCTCCGCTTCTGGGATGCTCGATTCCACCTTGCTGGCCAACAGCTCGGCGGACCAAACCGTCTCTGGCCAAAATTTCTCGGCGAAATAGATCCCCCGGCGAGCCCCGCATTCCATCGGGCAGGAGCTGCCGTCGACGACGTACGCCCCAAATGGAGCAGGTCCCGCGCCACTTCCACGGCGGCAAACGGCGCCCCCCTCGAAGTCACGCCGCCCGCGATCAGGCGCGACTTGAAGAAGTCGCGGGCTCTAAGGCTGGGGAACGGCAGCAGCTGCGCGGCCTCCGCGGCCACCGCCTCAATCTGCTCGGCCAGCCTCGATTTGCTGAAGCTGCTGCGGCGGGGCGCCGCCCCCTGGCCCCCGTGGACCACCGGGCGCAGGATTGCCTTCGGGGGCGTCTCGGCGGCGATCGCCTTCCTCAGGGCACACCACACACAATGATAATGACATTCCTGAGTACACTGTGAGGAAGTCTCAGGCGGGAACGGGGGCGCTGACAAGATTGCGAGGAAGTCACAGGCGGGCGCGCCGTCACTGGATAAATTATAAAGCTTTCAAGGTTTCTGGATCAGGAAGGCCCTCCTGAGGAGTAGCAGGAGGAGGTGGAGGAGGAGCAGGAGAGGTGGAGGAGGAGCAGGATGAGGTCGGGACCTCGTTTCTTATTGCGAAGGCTTTACGGCTGGCGCCGCCGACCCTGAAGACGACGAAGATGAAAACGAGGGGGAGGAGGAGCAGGATGATGACGAGGAGGCAGAGGAGGAGCAAGAGGAGGAGGAGCAAGGGGGGAGGGGGAGGAGGGAGGAGGAGGAGAAGGAGGAGGAGGAGTAGAAGGAGGAGGTGAGGAGAGCCAGGATGAAGAAAGGTTGGGGACCTCGTTTCTTAGTCGTCGTTGCGTGGGTCAGCGCCCCGACTGATCTGGGGTGGCGTTGGCTCAGGAACGCCCCCCTGAGGGCCCAGACCTTGGCACGCTCCTCCTCCCCCTCCTCCTCCTCCTCCTCCTCCTCCTCCTCCTTTTCCTCCTCCTCCTCCTCCTCCTTCCTCCCCTCCTCCTCTCCTCGCCCTCCTCCTTCTCCTCCTCCCCCTCCCTCCTCATCCGCCTCCTCCCGCTCTTCCTCGCCTCCTCCCCTCCTCCCTCCTCGCCCTCCTCCTCCTCCTCCTCCTCCCCTCCTCTTCCTCTCTTTTTTTCCTTCTCCTCCTCTTCTTCCCGCCCTCCTGCTCCTCGTCCTCGTCGCCGTCGTCGTCGTCGTCCTCCTCCTCCTCCTCCTCCTCCTCCTCCTCTCCTCGCCCCCACCTTGAGGCGACCATTCTCTCCCTGCTCCTCCTCTTCCTCATCCTCCCCCCTCCTGCCTCCTCCTCCTCCTCCTCCCCCCCCCGCCTCCTCCTCCTCCTCCTCCTCCTCCTCCTCCTCCACCTCCTCCTCTCCCGAACGTTTCGGGTGGCCCTCGATGAGCAGTCCGCCGGGCGCAAGGCCCCACATCGAAAAACAAGGTGCGAGCCCCTTCTTCAGAAATGAGAGTTCAAGCAGAATCCTTTTCAAGTTTGCCCCGCCCTGTAGACCGACACGCTGGAGCGCGCGGACCCGCGATACCTCAGCGCCAAACTGAGGAGGATTTGCTCCACCGGCGGCATGTCAGCAGCGGCCTCCAAGTAGAGGCTCGTCACCTTGTGCAGGCTGCGCTTCTCGTCTAAGAACTGATATTTCGACAAGATGGGGTCCGAAATCCATGGGTACGCCTGGCCACAACGTCGCAAGCTGTGCATCGCCCGGAGAGCGTGGACGAAATTCACCGGGTCCCTGCGGGGCACCTCCCAATGGACTTTCGGGCGGCGCCTCCTCCTCCTCTGCGCATCGGGAGGGGACCGGCTCTCCGCGGGAAGCGTGCCATTGGACGCTGGCACTGGCGCTGTAGCGGAGATGCTGCCACAACCAAGCCGGAAGAGCCGCCTGAAGACCCGCTGTCCCGTCGGCGCACGTCCATCTGGCTCGGGCGCCTGAGCAGGCGGCAACCGCATTGCAGCACAGCCTGCAAAGCAGAGAGTTGCCACGAGAAGACGCATCGTGAGGAGATATTCCGAAAACTGATAGAGCCAACGTGGCTGCGGCTCGGGCCCCACTGGGGCCCCACTTGGATTCGGCTCGGGCCCCACTTGGAACCGGCTCGGGCCCCACTTGGGCCCCACTTGGATTCGGCTCGGGCCCCACTTGGAAGGTGCTCGGGCTCCACTTTGGGCCCCACTTGGATTCGGCTCGGGCCCCACTTGGGCCCTACTTGGATTCGGCTCGGGCCCCACTTGGATGGTGCTCGGGCCCCACTTGGGCCCCACTTGGAACCGGCTCGGGCCCCACTTGGATTCGGCTCGGGCCCCACTTGGGCCCCACTTGGAACCGGCTCGGGCCCCACTTGGGCCCCACTTGGATTCGGCTCGGGCCCCACTTGGAACCATTTCGGGCCCCACTTGGGCCCCACTTGGAGGCGGCTCGGGCCCCACTTGGGCCCCACTTGGAACCGGCTCGGGCCCCACTTGGAACCGGCTCGGGCCCCACTTGGGCCCCACTTGGGACCGGCTCGGGCCCCACTTGGGCCCCACTTGGATTGGGCTCGGGCCCCACTTGGAACCGGCTCGGGCCCCACTTGGGCCCCACTTGGAAGCGGCTCGGGCCCCACTTGGAACCGGCTCGGGCCCCACCTGGGCCCCACTTGGAACCGGCTCGGGCCCCACTTGGGCCCCGCTTGGATTCGGCTCGGGCCCCACTTGGATTCGGCTCGGGCCCCACTTGGGCCCCGCTTGGAGGCGGCTCGGGCCCCACTTGGGCCCCACTTGGAACCGGCTCGGGCCCCACTTGGGCCCCACTTGGATTAGGCTCGGGCCCCACTCGGGCCTCACTTGGATTCGGCTCGGGCCCCACTTGGAACTGGCTCGGGCTCCACTTTGGGCCCCACTTGGATTCGGCTCGGGCCCCACTTGGATTCGGCTCGGGTCCCACTTGGGCCCCACTTGGAACCCGCTCGGGCCCCACTTGGGCCCCACTTGGATCGGGCTCGGGCCCCACTTGGATTCGGCTCGGGCCCCACTTGGGCCCCACTTGGAAGCGGCTCGGGCCCCACTTGGGCCCCACTTGGGCTCCACTTGGGCCCCACTTGGAACCGGCTCGGGCCCCACTTGGAGGGTGCTCGGGCCCCACTCGGGCCCCCCTTGGAAGCGGCTCGGGCCCCACTTGGGCCCCACTTGGGCCCCACTTGGAGGGGGCTCGGGCCCCACTTGGGCCCCACTTGATGCTAACGCATATCTGGCGGAAGAAAGGGGAGGCCCCCGAAACTCGGCCACGCGTGGGAAGGAGGGGGGGGGAGCGTTTTCCAAGGCAGCCTCGCTCCACGCCGAGCCAGGCGAGCCAAGCTCGCCGGACCACCCACTAACGGCCATGCGTGAAGCTCAGCTGCCATGGAAGACGCCCCCACCCCCCTGTTCCCACACGCTGCCCTCTTTGCTGCGCAGGTTGCCCGAGACATCCTCGCAGTGGCGGCCTCCCTCTGTCCCTGATTTCAGATAACACGGGGCCGAGCTCCTCCCTCCGTGCCGTCAGTTGCAATGGCAACCTTCGCGTGATCATGCTGGGCACGCGGGAAGATGAGCGTTTTGGGGGCGTCGTAAGCCTTCTTGGAAGCCGTTTTGAGCCGTCTTGAGCGCTCTTGGGCCCCCGAAACTCAGCGACGCGTGGGAGGGGGGCGGGGGAGGGGGGGAGCGTTTTCTAAGGCAGCCTCGCTCCACGCCGAGCCAGGCGAGCCAAGCTCGCCGGACCACCCACTAACGGCCATGCGTGAAGCTCAGCTGCCATGGAAGACGCTCCCACCCCCCACCCCCCTGTTCCCACACGCTGCCGACTCTCTGCTCTGCAGCTTTGCCCGAACGGGCTATATTGGAGGGCGTGTTTCACGCAGGGTTCCTTAATACCAGAAAAAAACCTTTATGCTAACGCATATCTGGCGGAAGAAAGGGGAGGCCCCCGAAACTCGGCGACGCGTGGGAAGGAGGGGGGGGGAGCGTTTTCCAAGGCAGCCTCGCTCCACGCCGAGCCAGGCGAGCCAGGCTCGCCGGACCACCCACTAACGGCCATGCGTGAAGCTCAGCTGCCATGGAAGACGCCCCCACCCCCCTGTTCCCACACGCTGCCCTCTTTGCTGTGCAGGTTGCCCGAGACATCCTCGCAGTGGCGGCCTCCCTCCGTCCCTGATTTCAGATAACACGGGGCCGAACTCCTCCCTCCGTGCCGTCAGTTGCAATGGCAACCTTCGCGTGACCATGCTGGGCACGTGGGAAGATGAGCGTTTTGGGGGCGTCGTAAGCCGTCTTGGAAGCCGTTTTGAACCGTCTTGAGCGCTCTTGGGCCCCCGAAGCTCGGCGACGTGTGGGACGGGGGCGGGGGAGGGGGGGGGGAGCGTTTTCCAAGGCAGCCTCGCTCCACGCCGAGCCAGGCGAGCCAAGCTCGCCGGACCACCCACTAACGGCCATGCGTGAAGCCCAGCTGCCATGGAAGACGCTCCCACCCCCCACCCCCCTGTTCCCAAACGCTGCCGACTCTCTGCTCTGCCTCCTCCTCCACCTCCTCCTCCTCCTCCACCCCTCCTCCCCCACCTCCACTTCCTCCTCCTCCTCCTCCTCCTCCCCCTCCTCCTCCTCCCTCGCATTGGGGGAGAGGAAAGGGAGACGAGCAGCTACGAATACGTGCTTTTTTGCGCAAGCAAGCCGCAAAACGATCAAAACGGCCCCGCACAAACCGATCTGCAGCGGGCAAGCTCAAGCCAGTCCGCGACGAATATCCGCCGACCCACTACTGCGTGGCCACCAGGCTATGAGAATGAAATGTTTCCAGTGTTGTAATCCGGTGAAGTTGCAGACCCCCCTCGCCAAGAGTATGCCTGCGGGCACCGCGCTAGCCCGCGAACACCACAACTATGCCTGTGCGCCTCACAGCGTGCCTGCGAGCACCACGGGCCTGTGCAAGCCGCTCTGGCCTCCGACGATCACATTGT